AGGAAGGAAGGAAGGAAGGAAGGAAGGAAGGAAGGAAGGAAGGAAGGAAGGAACTAATGAGCAGGTCACACATCTCCCAAGAGCCAACCCGAAGCCCCGAGATCTCAATGTTGGCTTCCTTCCTTCCTGACTCCATGCCCTTGTGGGGTCCTCACAAACAGCTGGTCAAGGGCTACTCTGCCCCATCAGGCCCTGCAGGGGTGGAGGGGGATGAAGGGTCTGGTGCCAGGATGGTGGGGGCGGGGGGGGGCGCCTAGGCCTTAAGGGATCGGCCTCACACCAGATGCCCTAGGAGAGGACAATAAGACTGAAGAACTGGGCGCACACAGTGACTGGAATGTGTACAATCAGGAGGACAGGGAGAGGGCTGATGAGGCTCTGGCCAAACAGGGCAAAGCTCGTCACACCCACCAGAGTCCAAGATGCTGCCTGTCGCTGAGAAAAGCTGGAGGATCCCTGCATCAGAGAAGGGGAAAAGGAAAAAAAAAAAATCACTCTTATGATGTGTGATTCCCTTTGATATTTTTTACTCTATTCTGTTTAATTTTTTGAAGTCACTGGCTGTGGCCCACTAAATTGCTTTCGCACCCGGTGGCTCACAACTCGCGGTTTGAGGAACCCTGGCTGTAAATACTGTGTCCTGACGGATCCCCGACTCCAGCCTCTGGTGCTGGGCTCCCTGTTTGTGTCCCACTGTGCGTCAGTCACACATATAGGTCCGCCCTACCTGTGGGCTCTGTCCTGGGCCTCCCAGCCCATCGAATGGCACCACTCACGCCAGCATCTCCAGTCCCAGCCCAGGGGTCATCGCTGGTCCCTCCCTGTCTCTCATTCTTGGCATCCAATTGCATTACAAATCCTGTCATTCCTCAGATCTGGAACTTTCTTGAACTTTCCGGGTCTTTCCACACCCACTGCCACCCTAGCCCAAGCCGCCATTTTCCCTCTGCGGCTGACAGCACTGGCCCCAGAGGGTCCCTCTGCTTCTACTCCCTACCCCCACCCCATCACAAGGGGACCCCTGCTCCTCATGTCCTGGGGGCTCCCACCGGTGACCACGGCTCCTTACCACACCCCGCGAGCCCTGGAGTCCTGGGCCTACTTTTCTTGAGGCCACCACAGCCTCCTGCATGTGTTCCTCACGCACACAAGCTCTTCCCTGTGCCCCGGCTCCCTTTCCTGCCTTTATTCTTTGCAGTATTTCATTTACTCCTTAGGCCTAGCCCAAATCTCCCTGTTCAGGGAAACCTTGCCACCCACGTGATCTGAAGAATCCCCTGCCTTGCCGATCGCTCCCTGTGACTCTTCCTTCTTGTCACCCCACTTCTCTCTTTCACTGCACTGGTCACATCGTCTAATAATCTTGTTTGCTATCTTCTTGCCAAATGTCTTTTCCCCCCCATTACAACGTAAGCTCAGTGAGGTCAGGGACCACGTCTGAGTGGCACTGACCAGGCACTTAGTAAATATTTACTGGTTAGATGCATAAGTGAAGAAATGAATGAGTGACATTATATGTAGGGCAGCAAACTCTAGTTCTGGGCCCGGGCCTAGGGTTTGCAGGGGGAAGGAGTGAGGGGACCCTAGCCAGGGGCTGAGGCTGAGGCTTCCCTCACCACGTCTGAGCTGACAGCTGAAAAACATTCATTCCTTTCCACTTTGTCTCCCCTTCAACCTCAAACTCTGGGAGCCTTGGGAGAAAGGTGCCCCTTCTTCCATCAGACCCCAGCCCTGGGCACGCACGGAGCCTGGCGCCCTCCTGCCTTCATCCCAGGGACAGGCGGGGACGGCCTTACCTGCGACACAGAGGGACACGGGGAGCCCCCGGACGAGCATGGTGGCGGCACAGGGCGGGCGGTGGAGGGAAGAGTCCTCACCTCTGGCAGAGGCAGAGCCTGGTCTTCTGGGTTTTTATTCCTTGCTCTCCACTCTCCTCCTCTTCCTACCAAAATTGACAGATTTTACTAAACAAATACTCAGTGCCTACTGCGAGCCAGCCACTGTGTTGGGTGCTGGGATGCACCCAGAATTAAGCAGAAACTATCCCTGTTCTGCACATTTCAGGGAAGCAGCAGGGACCAGGTGGTCAAAGAGCAAAGAGAGGGGAGGGGAAGGAAGGGGAAAGGAGGGGAGGGCAGGGGAGGGGAGAAGGAACTAGAGTGTGTGGCCCAGCCTTTGCTGGACTATCCTCCCTGCTCACCCTCAGCAACCACAGCACCAGGGAGAGACTTCAGGATCCCCATTTTACAGGTAGGAAGGTTGTGGCTGGGAGAAGTGAAATAACTTACTTAACTACATGGTGGGAAGTAGCAGGACAGCAGTTGAAGCTCAGGTCAC